CACCTGGTTTCCGGTATGTGAATTTTATTTGAGTATTTCCCTATTTTAGCCTTGGACTCGGCGAGTCATAGGTCCGACTCGCCGAGTAGGGACGAGACTCAGGACACGTTTAAGTTGGCGACTCGGCGAGTCCATATCCCGGACTCGGCGAGTCACCGCTGCTGGATGAAACCCTAAATTTCAAGGGTTTGCACCCTATTTAAACCCTCATTCCGCCCCAAACTCGTCCCCATTCACCCCCAGAACTCCCAACATCGTTTATACCCTTATTTCCTTGAGAGATTGAAGTGTTTTGGAGTGTTCTTGAAGATTTTGAGGAGAAAGAAGAGTAGATCAAGAAGAGGAGAAGGAGACCAGGCATCTTTGTGTCATCTCAACGTTTTCCTTGAGGTATAGCTCGTTTCCCCTCTGTTTTCAAGCTTGTAATCTCTTTTAGCTTCATAGGAGTCCTTCTTGGGCTCTTCCCCAAGCTTGTTTGTGCTTTGTGGGTTGTAATAAGTTGTTAGCCTTTAGATCTAGGCATGATTTAGTCCCTGGAGCTTGGATCTAATGCCTTTATGGGGTCATATTGCATGAAAGCCCTAGATCTACCTCTTTTGGTGCACTTTGAGCCTTAAAATCCATATTGGTGAATATCTACACGTAAAGTTGGAAACTTTACGTGTGATTTGTGTCCTAGAAGCCCAGATCTGTGAATGGCATGGACTGGAATCGAGCAAATCGGTGTATTTGATGGATGCATGGCTGCGACTCGGCGAGTCGTATATGTGACTCGACGAGTCTGGTCGCGAGTCACTGAATTGGTCCCTTTATGATGTATCGAGTTGAGCCGTGAGTCACAGGGGGTGACTCGGTGAGTTGGAAGCTGAACTCACCCATGATAGGACTCGGCGAGTCAATGCCCTGACTCGGCGAGTCCAAGGCAATCTTCATAGATCAAGAACAGACTCGGCGAGTTGTTCATACAACTCGGCGAGTCTTAGCATAAGTGTTCTTCGGATGAAGATGAACTCGACGAGTTGTTCATACAACTCGGCGAGTAGGATGAAGAGGTTGAACGTCAGTCTAGAAGATGAACTCGTCGAGTCATAGCCTAACTCGACGAGTAGAAACAGGGACTCAGGACAATCGTCTGATAGGGACTCGACGAGTTGGAGAGCCAACTCGGCGAGTCGGGTCAACTGAAAGTTGACTCTGACTTTGACTTAGAGCTAGACCAGGGGTAAAATGGTCATTTTACCCAAAGGACAGTTAGCAGTGTTTGATTGAGTATGTTGTGGGAATTGCAGCCGGAGGATTTCCGGAGCAGCAGCAGTCAGTTAGTTCCCGATCAGTTCAGCAGCTACTTTGAGGTGAGTTACCTTCCAGTAGTGGTGGGTCTAAGGCCACAATGCCGGCCCACCAGTAGGAGACGTATGATAGATGATTGTCTTTGTGATATCATCTAGGTTTGCTATTACCTGATATGTTATATGCTATCATGATACGTTATATGCGATAGTAGTAGAGTTCGGTTGTTAGGACCGCAGGGTAGTCAGACACCCCAGAAACGTCTGACAGTATGTGATGATATGTTTGTATGTTGGCCTGTTATGTTATGCGATAGAGGTAGCAGGAGGGGACCAGTCCCCGAGGATCGGTTGTTAGGACCGATGGGTAGTCAGCACCCCAGAATGGCTTGACATGGGTAGTCAGCACCCCAGAATGGCTTGACACGGGTAGGACGGCACCCCAGAATGGCCGTATGGGTAGGTCGGCACCCCAGAATGGCCGTACCGGGTAGTCAGGCACCCCAGAATAGCCTGGCAGTACGTATGTTATGTATGGTATGTGGTACGTTGGGGGAACTCACTAAGCTTTGTGCTTACGTTTACAGTTTTGTTTTCAGGTACCTCTTCACCGAAGGGGAAGGAGCCGGCGCGGTAGCGGCACATCATGCACACACTCTGGTTTCCGCATTTACGAGATTCACTGGGATTGTACTCTGATATTTTGATGGATGTTGGTTTGCTTAAAACAAGGTTTGCGATGTGTTATGGTGTGATCAAACAA